TTGATTTTCATCCCGGCATTTGGATACCCTTTGGACACACTACCTAACATGAAATTTTTATTTATTAATTCAGAAAGGAATATAATAAAGTTTTGAAATTCAGCATAGGTAACCTATTTTATTAACTCTCTGCCTCTGGATGGCGTAGATGTCATGCCATAGTTTGAAACATTATCTTGCCAGGAATGTGTTAGTCATGTCTTCATTGACTCGGTCCAGTCACAGTCTATAGCCCTTGTACCATGCAGACTTTGCACCAGGATGACTTTATAGGAAAATAAGGCATGAGGCCCTCATGTAATCATACATATTTGCATCAAAGCCACAAACTGGGTCTTTCTCAGTGCATATATGGTATGAAAACAAGTGTGCTAGTTGCCCGCACATGGCACATGCTGCCGTGTTTTGACCTTATGGTGATTTAGCTGGTCCAGAGACATTGGGTTGATAATGCATTATATGTATTCTCTCTGTGGATAAGCAAGTGTTCTAATACAATATGTAGTACAGAAAAGTACATGGTCTACCTTATTGTAGGCTCACTTTATAGTTGCTTTTAGTGTGTGTATTTCTTGTTCACTGATATGGTCCCTTGTAGTACAGAATTAAACTCATGTATTGGAGGCATTTCTTTTGATTTCTATAGTAGTTTATAGTCTGTTTTGTTTAAATAAATTTGGGTTTTGAAATACTGCTTTCTCATGTACTAAAACTCATCCATATGCACATGCACTGTTGTTCCCCTCTGCTCTCTCTGTGATAGAACTGTCAAGCTCAACAGTATACATGTAGTGCTTCTCTTAACATTTATACATTTTTATGTTGTCTTCTTGATCTCCATATATTCAACTTTGGACATAAAGTTTAATTTCTGTGAAGTAAACTTATTGTCTTATTATTGTTTACAAATTAATTGATACTTTTTGATTTTCCCTCAAAAATTTCTTGGGTTTTGGGAACATATTATTATAATTGTTTACAGTAATAATGTGGTAAGATGGTTAATTTTTGTAGTAGTGCATTCAACTTTTTTGTTATTTTGTATTGTTCTTATTAAAGTGACTTACTGCTTTTATCTTCTATATATTATCATGAATAATTCATACCAAGATTTTTAAAAATTTGTGCATGGCTTATGTATATCTCAGTGCATAATTAAATCTCTGCTTGCAAACTTCTTGGCTAAATTTTGCCTCCTGACCACAAAATATTTGCTGTGCATTTGATTATTGTGCTTGATAAGAAGGCAAAATGGTTTCCAAATGATGCAAGTCTGTATACAAGAAGGTTAAGTTTTTATTTAGTTTTTCAATGTTCATGGTTTTGCTGTTTGTTAAACAAAACCTTTTGTCAGTTACAGTTGAAGTTAGTGGAAGAAAGATTTTACTCATGGGAATTGATAAGGACATTGGAAAATTGTGTCTGCAGTCATTTTTACATACAAATGTGTATTTTTTGCAAAAGAAACATGGACATGGACACAGACACACATGCTTATGCATAACACACAACACACATGCATACACACACATGCTCAACACAAACTCATACTTCCTCTCTCTTTCTCATATCAACTATTAAGAAAGGTGTCATTGTAGCAAATCAAACTGACCAGGGATTTCTGAGGTGCAGAGTGAAGTGTGACTAAGAATTCTCTTTTGGAGGGGGAATAAATGGTGTAGGATTTTGAGCAGGAAATATTTGGTATGATTTTGTTTGTAGATTCATTCAAGGAATCTGAAAATGCAAATGAGTTCATTAAGAAATATGCTGATTTCCTCAGCTGTTATCTCTATTCTGAGATCCTGACCAGTGACTTTGGCATTTTATCGGAAAAGACTAAATGTGTTTGAAGAGGAAATTATTTTGGGTTCATAACCGAACTTCAAATGATACCTTTGTTCTTTTACCAGAATCATAATTGTTATTTGGATGTTATATATGTTTTGTTATGGTACATAGATACAGTTACCATATTCCACTTTAGATTGAATCTTGTCTAACCTTTTAGGGAATATTTTGCAGTGTTGTTAAAAGAATGTATGAATGCACATTCTTGATATACAAGTTTCATATACAACTTATTTATATTTCTCATAAATTTATTGCTAGGAGAAGCTAGGCATTTCTGTCAGTCAAAGAAGATATTCTTAGCTGCAAATATTAGTTTGGGAATAATATTGTGCAGCATGTGGCTGTTAGTAATCTGAACCTTATTTTGTTATAAATGTTTTGCATTTGCTGTTTTAATGGGTACATAACATTTTTTTCTCAGGACCATTATGTAGGTTTTTGTTGTCCTGAAGTAGTTCTCCTTTTCTTGCTTATCCTAGGGATATTGTAGCAGCACATCTTGTAAATTCTGTATTGTAGAGATATTGAATCTTTAGAGGAAGATCCTACCTACCCTTCTTCATTGGAATTTACATGAAGTGCATGTATACCTTACCTCATATAGCAATTGCTGATGAATTATTACAGAGCATGGAGCCAGTGACATTAAAGAAAATGGGAAATGCCCTTGTCATAATTTAGAAAACAGTTGTAGGGGAACTGGCACAAAATATTTTTTTCTGTTTTGTTAATTTTTTATATGTATTTTTAAACATATATAAAAAAAAATTGACAGACTACATTCTTTTTGTGTTTTGATAATAGGATGATGATATGAGATATGAATATTATAAGGAACTAAAATAGCTTCTTCATAGCCTTTGAACCAGATATCTTCTTTGGAAATTATTGTAAGAAGTGATTTTTCTTCTGTGATGCTCCTTGCTATAATTTCACTTAAAGATATTATTCAGACATTTGGAAGAGCCACAATATTTTATTACTCTGTAGCAGACATACAGTTCTAACTTTCATGTAGTAGGTAACCTTACTTTTACTACACTAATCATTTACAACAATAATACCACTGCCTGTCAAGCAGTAATTTGATCTTTGTTGCTTTCTAAACGGCAGTCCAACCCCAATGAAAGGCAGGAACCGGCTGCAGATGAAGGTGACCCATAGGCTAAGAATGTCCCTGTCTCGTTGCATGGATAAAAGAACTTGTGGCTTGTTTCCCCTCGTCCTTGTGATAAATTTAGCTTCTTCAAAATTGATTGAGATTTCAAGTTTTGTTCTTTATTTTTTTATTAGTTTTGACTAGCTCTTTTAATTTTCAGAGTGTGCAGCAAAATTTTGTCTTTTCCTTGAAATCAGGCATATATATTTAATATAAAGTGAGCATACATAACATTTTCAGAACATTGCTGATTATAGATGACCTACATTTACTAAAAATTAGTGTAACACACTGTCGCCTGGAAAATGTGTTCACTAGTATTATTTTGTGAAACTGTCTCTACACGTACATGGCTCCACAAGTGCTTAGCCACCAGAGTTGATTAGTAGATGTAATGACCTCACCTGATTTCACCTTTCCTTGAGTTGGCATTTTTTGTACTAACGCTATCAATATCAATGCTGATGTTATTATTTTAGACATTATGATTATTATAATGTTGTTGACATTACTAACAGCAATATAAAATACCAGAAAATATTATCAAAAATCAAGGAAAAGGGTAAACTGATCAGATGGTTAGTATTCATAAGTGGCTCATTAGTGACTTAGTAATTGTGGATCCATCTACATGCAAAGACAATTAACCCATCAGCGACTGGTAAAAATTTTGTCAAGTTTACGTATGCGCCGGCTTGTTGGCGTGCACTGGCAGTTTCCCCTGTTTGCGCCCGGCTCGATCGGTAGTTTGCGAGCGACATATAGCACCTAAAAGCTTTTATTTTTCTAAAATTTATAAAAATATTAAAATTTTGAAGGTTAACCTTCACTTTAGGTGCCATTGCCTAAAATCTTTACCATATAAATGAAGCTGCTACTAGTGGAGAAAAACAACCTCCGTCCGATGAGCCAGTAGCGCGGGAATGGGCATGGCATGATGCCCCCAGCGTTTGGTCCACAACAGCCATGGCATGTACGTACGTGACACCCGGCGCCAATGGGTTAATAAAGTAAACTCAAAATTGGTATGGCATATATGTACATACCACCCATGGCGGCATCAGTGAAAATTTGATTTTGAGCTCATTCTCCTTTACATCTTAATGTAATATTTGATTACAAGCTCTTGATTATTATGAAATAGTCTGCTTCATGTACATATCTGATGCAATTTTAAGATTTCCTTTCCTGCTCCATGTACTTGTATGGTCATTTATATATATATATATATATATATATATATATATATATATATATATATATATATATATATATATATATATATATATATATATATATATATATATATATATATATATATATATATATATATATATATATATATATATATATATATATATATATATATATATATATATATATATATATATATATATATATATATATATATATATATATATATATATATATATGTATGTATAATATATGATATATATAATGTAATATATAAATACATATATATGCTATCATATCTGTGTTGCTGATTTTATATCAGGAATCTGTCAGATTGCTTCAAGTATTTTTTTCTATCCTTTTTGTAGTGCTATACAAATGGTAGCACTGTCCGAAGTGGAACTGTTGATGTGATGAAATTTAGTAATGCATGTTTTATTTTTTTCTCCAGATATAAACCTCCTTGGTTTGCATTGTAGGAATAATTATTGGAATTGCTGTAGTGTTGTTGATCATTTACCTTGATGTCGTCATGTATGATATGTCTGTCTTTGTATGTGCACATGTGTGCCCCTCCCCCTACACAAATCCAAATCCACATATATATACATAAGCACACATAAACACACACACACACACACACACACACACACACACACACACACACACACACACACACACACACACACACACACAACACACACACACACACACACACACACACATACACACACATACACACACATACACACACATACACACACATACACACACACATACACACATACACACA